TTAGGATCTGTCAAGATCTGAGGCCCTTGGCTACCCGCCTGATAACCTCAGACAGGGAAGATCAGTATCTTAAAACTCTTCTTAAAACTCTCTTTCATCTCATGGCTTTTTCTTACCTGTTGTATTGTTGGAAAGATTTAAATGATCAAACTTAAACTTTTGCTCTTGATGTTATTACTTTTATTATATTTGTTTACTGCAAAGTGACTAACAGTGTTTTGAAAGGTGCTATGCAAATAAAATGATGATGATGATTTTGAGTGATGATAGTCAATTTCATATGAAAAAGAACATAGCAGGAAATCCTGACACGTGAGCAGGTGGAATGTCTGGTATTTTTAAAAATAGATAGATACTAATCCGTTATTAGAAATGTCACAGATTCAATTTCAAATGAAAGCGTTTATATTTTGAGATTCTATTTATTTAAGTAATTGTTAAATTATATTTTCTCCAAAATGTTTTTTCTGATATAAAGGTTTGAATGCAGTTTCGGCTGCTTCTCCACAGTGCAAGCAATTAAACTCTGGGGGAGAAATATTAAAGCTTTTATTTGCCTAAAAGCTGTGAGTAGAAGTATTGTATGAAAATGCAAGAGCTTATAAAATAAGATGTTTATAACCCTATAATTTAAAGTCAGTTTAACATTATTAAGGCTATGTCATTTTAATGCAATCGTTCAAATGATATGAACTCATTTTAGCACCCTTTATTGGTACTACCACTAGGAGTTTCCAAAGCCACATTTTTGAAACAACTTTAAATCCCAGAACACATTAGTAGGACACATTCTAGATCTAAAGCTATGACAAAATAAAGACAGTGAGCCACTTTTAAATCAATCTCTTCACCAGGCAGATTTGTTCAAACTTGCACTGAATAACTAAACTGAATGAAATGGAGAAAATGCTACCATCATGTTGTGCTCCACCATGTTCCATGCACGAGGTCGCAGCATCAGCACTGGAGCCTGAGATATGTGTGGAACATCTGTTAACACATGGAGGGAGGCGGATGAACAGTGAGGTTCATGAGAAGATGTGACTTGTTCTCTGATCCACCTCTGGAATATTCATGTGTGCATCCTCACAAATATTCTTGTCCATGTAATGTAGCTGTACCAATATAAATATTGCAACACTACTTACTGGGAAACTGGTTGTGCACCACCCTAAAAACATTGTGGATCCCTTTGACCTGGTTGTAATATGTAGGGCAGTTCCCATCATCAAAGTCAACCTGCCAAAGCCAAGAAGATTTGGAATAATTTAAATTTTGTCCTTCACAAGTCACATGACAAAAGGCGTCTATTGGAAGGACGTATTCTGGAAAATAACATTTTGATATTTAAAGGATAAGGCTGGTGTTCTGTTGTATTTTTCTGATTGTCACCAAATCCCACAAAAAGACGAAACAATGATATAGGCTATTCCAGGCCATTCGCAGATAACAATTTCAAACACTGTAGTAATAAGTGGGACTGACTCAAAATAAATTACAGTGATGTTATTATTTTGCATTTTTTTCTGCTATGTAGTGTTTGTGTTGTCTTTCAGAAATCATCTCAATGTTAACTACTTTTGGTTTAGATAATCTATACCAAGAAAATATTGTTTAACATTAACTGTGTAATTCTCAAATCTGCACATTACTAATTTGAACCAAAGAATATCATAGTTTCTGATTAACTTAATATATGACCTATGGTCCAGTTACTTGCATGTAAATGTACCCCTACATATATAAATGATTTCTACATTAGCAATTAAATGACAGCATTTAATAACCAAACAACACAGCTCATAAAAAAAGTTACTGGTTAGCCTCATATGGTCATAGGTAACCTGTATGCCTTGTGCTGGTGACTGCAGAGCTTTAATGAAGCGCTGGGTGTCACAGGGAGCCATATCCCCAATATCTACATGTCTCCTCTGGAGCCTTGGGGGCACAGGCTGCACCCTCCAGGCAGGATCTCTCCTGATATGTGTGGTGCTTTCCAGGAAGCTTGGCAGGTCTTCTGAAAGGTTCAAGTGGGTCTTTCTGGACTGTCGCAGCCACAGAACCTGAAGAGTAAAGCAGACACCTCATCTTGATTTAAACAGTTCTCCATTCATTCAATAACAAGGGATTTTTCATCTGTCTTACCTGATCTATCTCCTCATCAAATGTGGAGATCAGCTCATGGAGGAAAAGGAGCGAGTCCGTGGTGAAAAGGGTCTCATATTCTGCTTCTAGGCCTGTGGGCGGGGGAGACACCTCCATGCTGACTGAGCTCTGCAGAGAAAAGTTTGGATCCACTTAATAGATTCTGTATGATGTGGGTTTGTCACTGTGAGTGACCCCTATCACATTACATTTTAAACAAAATGGACTTTAGAGATTCATCAGTCCACAGGCACATGAGAAGTGAGTTTGCCTCTGCTACTTTTGAATCTGTATGTGTGAATAAGATGCAAAGCAAAGCATGCTAGGAAAATTCCTAGCTGTGCCCCTGCCATTATAGCTATTCCCTCATTCAAGCAGCTAAAACCTTTGTACTCGTGATCAGGTTTATTTTGACCACTTTCACTTTCAAGACATTGCCAAGGCTTACTGAAGTGAAGACCTGTCTGAAACAGAACTGAAACTGTTGCAGGGCACTAAAATTAATGATAGTGCTTTGGAGTGATGCAAAACACTGTTAAAGTGTTTGTTTCCCCCATCTACCATAATTTTGTATTCTTTATAGCCAAAATATCATTAGCTACAAAATGAAGAAATGCAGTGATACTCACAGACATGCTGTTGGCAGGTCTGTGCTCACTCAACAGAAGTGGACTTTGGAACTATTTTGGTCACTGTTTGAACAGGAAGATGTTTGCTTGCATACAAAGTCCAAAATATGTATATTCAGTTCAGTCAAGTGACATTAGTAATGTTGTAGGCAGTGTGCGAATTACATTGTGCATTTTGGGGGGGTCTCCTTTTCTATGAACCCGGGATGGGGGCATTGAATGCTGCTGTGCGCTTTGGCTGGATGACATCAGGAAAGCGGATCAAGGGCCATCCCATTCACTGATGGGCATTACTGACAGCGGGACGTCAGTCCGACCTTCTGCACTGATGTACTCACTGTTACAGTCTCCTCACACGATCAAGCTCCACAAAGACATACCTTTACCACGGGGATATACTGTATGTTGTGTCTGTTTGTGTATTTAATGATGATTTGATCCCGACAAAAGCAGCTGTAGCCTATGGAGATAAAGTGGGCGATGCATTTGTCTTAACAGCCTGTGCGCTCCTGAGAGATGGAATAACTTTGTGGATCACTTTTGGTATAATACAGTAGGTCTATATTTCAACATTTTATTATCTCAAAAAATGTACCGTTTATAAAGTTAGATGCACGTAAATCATATTGTGTAGATAAACAGAAAATAATTTGGCAGAATTCTGAAGAATTCAGTTTTCAAGGGATTCAATTTGTCAATCAAGTCTCCCCGAGACCTTCCTGTATTTGGCACACTGGTTGGTAACACTTAACAAAAAGGACACGAATATTATACTTAAGTAATGTTTTACCAATGTGGCTCAGGAGGTAGAGCAGTCGCCCCCTAATCGGAAGGTCGGCGGTTTGATTCCCATTCTCCCTAGTCCACATGTTCTTGGGCAAGACACTGAACCCCAAGTTGCTCCCAATGGCCAGGGCAGGAACAGCTTACTAGCGTGGTCAATTGTATAGTGTTAAAGTCCATAAATCACGATGAAAAAGAGCCAAAAGAACATCCAAGAGAATCCAAACAAAGCCATATCTATAGACAGTGACCAGAAAAGAGTAAAAAAAAAAGTCCATAACTATGTTAAACGGCCCTTTGGTGGACCTGAAAGTTGTCTCACCAGCCAGCAGCCCCGTGGAAAAGGTTATTCTACAGGAGACTGAGGTTGTTTTAAATCAAACCCTATTAGCTGCCATTAATAAGATCAAGGAGTCACAATATTCTGCTGTGGGTTTATTTGTTTCATCATATTGAGTTGTATCATTTATTTCAATGCTCAGGACTAAGGCAACCTTTTTTCTTGAATAAGATGTGGACCACTGGTGTGGACAGTGACATTGGGGCTTTTACTTTGAAAATATGAAGCGGAAGTTTGGCGCCTTTACGTTTCCGCTTTGCTATCCAGTGGTTTTGACAGCTGCAGTTCTTTCATGATTCACGCTGTGGGACCGACTAGGTGTGAATAGCGGTAGAAATACATAAGTCATGGAAGACAAGACACAAATACAAGAAGCGATTAAAATACAAGGTGAAGTCGTGCGGAAGTTAAAGGTAGAGAAGGCGAGCAAAGAGCAGGTTAGTGTTCAGAAACGACACTGATATTTAATGGTGATTTTAAGGCTAGCTGTTAACAGTTTGTCTAACATTACTTGGCATTTAAGAGAAGGGTTGCTAGTTAGCCAGCCCCGGCACCACGTAGAACTTCATTCATACCGCAGAGCTAAGCTAACTGGAAGATTCAATACTCAGTTTCTCATACCTGTCTGTCAATTCATTGCATCGTTTTGTCTAAGATTACAACTGACTCGTCAACGTTACTGTATGATTTATCAGTAGCTAGCTACTTATATATTCGGCATACCCTGACGTTATGCCCAATGTTAGCTAGGTTGCGTACTTTAGTGATAACACCCCAAACAAAGCTGTCGGCTGAACTTGTTTATATTCCGAAGTAGGCTGACTGGACAAACACCCCAAAAAATGTGCATGTGTTCAGTGCTAGGTGAGTCAACATGAAATTGCTCTAGACGTGGGCAATTTGTTTGGAGTAATATACAGGTCGCGATTATATAACGTTACATATAACTTGGGCACTAGAACCACCAGGTAAATCGGCTGTGTAATACATTTCAGAGCTACAAGGCACTTTGGTTCTATTAGCGTTCATTTTAGTTGAACCACCTAACTGCTAGCTTTAAGTTAGCTACCTCAAAAGGAGTGGCTAACCGCTCTACTTCGTTCTGTCGAGTTAGCGGCTAGAGCTAAAATGGAATGGGACTGATAGGACAGTAGCCAGTGGAAAAGCCGGCTATAGTCTGCTTTATTTTCAGAGGGACGGTTTTGGACAAGTCTGACATAAATAAGGTACTTACGTTTTAACGCTGACTTAAAGCGTGTCGATGTGACGTGTAAAAATAGCTGACGCAACGACCCCTGCGGGTGCTACGTTACTTAGCAGCGCAGGCGACAGTTAGTTTATCGGGGTTCTTGAGGTGCATTCTGCTGATATAAGATAAGCAGTTTTGACAGAATGCCATACCAAAATATTAAATTTATCTGACAAGAACAAATGTGATCAATTTACATCTTTTGTGAAGAGTTATCATGTTACTAAGTAATAGGATGGTGTGTGCCTGAACATGTAGGAAGGCTGTTTTGGGCTTGTTGCTTTAATTGACTTGGTACATCTCGTGTTCTATCTTCTTCGCTGTGATGATGATGATGATGATGATGCATCATGCCCCCACCTTCCCCTAGTGATAGGGTTGCTTACTACTTTTCTCCTGTTCTTCCTGCCTGACCCTGGATGACCTCGGCCCGCATTGCCCCTCATCACCATCATCTGCTTCACCACCTGGGGAACCTGACCTTCACGGATGACACTGCACAACTCTCCTTCTACTGCTCACTGTGCTTTGTTGCTGTAACTGGCCTTGGACAACACCCTTGGATAATGCTGTACCCAAAATGCATTCCTGAACATTTACTTGTCCAATTTCTGGACCTTTTTTAACCTTTCATTTTTTGACCCCCTGTTGTGTGGAACGAACATGCTGGGCATGTTTGGTGTTCGTGCTTGCTCTGGTATGCTGGGTTTTCGGACTGTAACACACGTACGAACTTTACAATCTTTCCCTGGGATCACTGTTGCTCAGGTAGGCCTCTGCTGCTGTGTTCATTGATGTTGGATGAATTTCCTGTAGTAAAATGTTGCCTGTAGTTTTCAAGTTTCTCTATAAGTTTGACCAAAGTAGTATACCACCTGAGTGTGTATGTGTGTGTGTGTTGCAGATTGATGAAGAGGTAGCCAAACTGCTGGAGCTGAAGGCTCGGTTAGGAGGAGATGATGGAAAACATCAGTTTGTCCTCAAGACTGCGAAGGTAAAGACCACAGTACTGCTGTACATAAATACATGCTTACACTACTGTACGTACAGAGTACTCTTTGAATAAAAAATAAAAAGAATCTTTATGACTAGGGCCAAATTTCTAGCTGGTATTAAAATTAGATGTCATTATATCTTATATAGATATGGAAAAGCGCATTAATGCTGATATGCTGCAGATGTACAAGCTGCACTCCTGTTCACAGAGTAATCACAGCTCAGCTGGTGTTTGATCAAATCAAATAAAAAAGGTTGAAAGGTCACTCAACTGCACACCTTTCTTCTATCTCATTTAGCTTGACAAAAAGCTGTAGATGATAGTGTAAATTTTAACTTGATAAACGAGCGAGGTCTTGCAATACGAGTAGTACGTACACTTTGTCTGCCGAGCGTCACATCACAACTGAGCCGATGGTTCTCGAGATGTGTAAAATGTGGGAAATGGTGCAAAATTTTGTGGAAAAGCACCACCCGAATAAGGTTGTAACAGTGCAAATGATAAATCTGTCTAACGACAATGCAATGCCACATTTCCACCAAATCCTTAAAAGGAGCCAAAAGCAAGTGTCATTGGATAGCTTCCTTGTTAAAGTAGCACAAAAAGAAAAAGATTTTAGCGAGCCAACAAATAGCAGATAGCTCCTCTCGCTGTCTACCTCACGCCAGCCGTGATTCTTTTCAAAGGTAAAGTGCAGGTTAATTTGTTTTATTTTTACTTTATACTGTATTTTGTATTACTTTAATCATTTTTATCTGAATGAGTGGTTGTGGAATGAATGATCTGAGTTTCCATTATTTCTTATGGGGAAATTCACTTTGATATACAAGTGCTTTGGATTACAAGCACGTTGCTGGAATGAATTATACTTGCAATCCAAGGTTTTACTGTGCTTTGAAAAAGGCAAAAATGTTTAATTCAAACTGTTGGAAGCCTTGTGTCAGCTTTAGCTGATCTTATTAATGTATGTACACATGAGCAGGAGGAGTTTAGCTTTGTCCCCCATCTGTATCATTGGAATCACAATAGGAGGGGATCTCTTTACAGCTAGCACGATGAACATAGCAACTAAAAGTTTTAAGTGCACATCAGAGGCCTGCATTGGGTTGGGTACCCAAAAAGTGATGTATAACAGATTTAAAAAAGTTGGTATTAATTCACAGGTACTGGCACAGGTAAAAAAAAAAACATAGACTAAATGTGAGTGAGGTAAACATAATCTAAATAAACAAAGGTACAGCTTCTGTTAAACAGTTAATCCAGCATAATTTTATCAAGCCTAAATAACCAATGCATTTAGTGTGAAGGCCTATGGCACAACCTTTGACCTGTCAACTCACATTCAGCTAATAGGACTTCAGTCACACATCAATGTAAGCTAGGTGCCAGTGTGTCAAACTGGGTAGCTTAAAAGAGAAAATAGCTAGCAGTGAATACAAAATTGTGGATAAATACATCATCAAAAGCCAAGTCAAACATATGGGAGACATTTGGTGTGGTTCTCATTATCTGTGTAAAACAGGTGTGCGTGCAGTCACATACACACAGTGTATGTTACAGTGAATGAGAAAAGCACTTTGCTGCTTGTAAATGGTGCCAAAAAGTGTTAGCATTTAATAGCCGCAAACTAGGCTCGCCATCACTAAGGAAAAAGCTGCAGATCCCAGGTGCTGTGTGCATTGACAGACACAACTCAAGTACTTTAAGCTACACAGTCACTTACTTTAAGTCTCTTTTAATTTTCGGTACCTGCCGGGTTGTGGGTCTTATGTTAATGGGTTGGGTCTCGACCTGTGCAGGACTCTGGTGTACATATTGTCATTTGTATGCTATGTTTTTTTAGACAGACTTGAAAAAATATGGAGGGATCTTTTAACTACTGACCTCTGTTCTTTAAGTTCTACTTAGTTTTGATAAAGCAGTACCTTATTTCTGTCATTTATCTGTAATTAATGGAGACATTTTAAGCACAAGCTGACCGTGAGAGAAGCAAATGCAATGCAGGCTCATTCACTTGGCAGACAGATGGAACCACAGTCAATGGGTGCATCCAGAATTGCCACCTTGCCTACTAGGTAGTAGGCTACAACATGTATGGGAGACAAATAGTATGTCCAAGTTCTTAGTATAGATGATCTGCATAACTTTGTATTATGGAAACAGTGGACACTACGCTATCCCATCATCCCACAGTGGTGGCAGGGCAGGGCAGGCTGAAAGCTGCTAACTTTTTGTCCTAGAATTGTTATGATGACAATTAAATTTTGATATTTTGTCATGTGAGAAAATAACCATCTTGTTTTAGAATATGTGGTCAATCTATCCAAGTAAAGCAAATTTAGAAATTTCCACTGTTTTCAGAGATGTGATGATTTCTAACCTGCCATCTAGCTAGTCTTATATAGCAGGCACAGCTACCCTTGACTGTGCACGTATTATTACATTCAGTAACATACAGTGTGTACGGAAAGTATTCAGACCCCCTTAAATTTTTCACTCTTTGTTATATTGCAGCCATATGCTAAAATCATTTAAGTTCATTTTTTCCCCTCATTAATGTACACACAGCACCCCATATTGACAGAAAAACACAGAATTTTTGACATTTTTGCAGATTTATTAAAAAAGAAAAACTGAAATATCACATGGTCATAAGTATTCAGACCCTTTGCT